GAATTAAAAAAATTAGTCTTTGTTTGTCATGAGTTGAGGCATTTCATACCTCTATACTTGCCTCAGAAGTTTGACTCTTTCCGCTCGCAACAAAATTCCAGCACGAGATCGTCTGGAGGTCCAGGATGGAAGGAAAGCGGGAAAAAGCAGCATGGTCACGACCTCGACACGGCTCAACAGGCAGACATTATGGCTTTGACAACAGTTTTGTTGAAAGGGTGATGAAGGTAAGATATGGGCATGCCAAGGATATAGTTTTACTTCGGACCCTCAACATCGTGATGTCCAACATTCAATCACAACTTAACGGACAGCGTCGAAGAGCTCGTTCCCCTCTCCGGACTAATACTACTACAATCTCACTACTCACAATCCTGATCACTACCATAACACGCCTTCCATCTCCACTGATTCCCTCTCCAACTCCACCACACCCACTAGTACCATCAACTCCCCAACCACAACACTCATTACCCTCTAACAATTGGGTGGGAGGAAGGAGATTGTTTGCGGCAAGGGTAATATCCTATTAAAAAGGTCAAGATGTGCGTGATTGGAAGGGTGAAGGGAGGACACACAAGGGCGTAAAAAGGGTGAGGGACAGTGGTATAACTGTAAGGGTATCATATTCCACACCTTCTTCTAACAACAATGCCGCAACGCTAAACGAACTACAAGATTTTAATCATCATCATCCTCATCGTCATCAACCGCCTCGATCGCCCCTACCACCCCCTCCTCCCCCACCACCACCAAATGAACCACCGCCAAAAGATCCCGCCCCTCCAAATGACCCAAACCTGGATCCAGCTCCTCCGGCTCCTCCAGCTCCCCCACCGCCGTACGACCCGAACCTAGATCCAGCGCCGTAAGAACCTCCAGCCCCAAGGGACCCAAACCTAGACCCAGCACCAACACCAGCACCAGCACCAGCACCAGCACCCCCAGCCCCAAAAGATCCGAATCGATTTGTAGATACCGAAGCCCCATATGACACAGACGCAGCACCAAAGCCGAAGCCAGTTACTCCCACCGGCCCTCCTCCTCCCGCATCAGTACCATTGGCCGCACCACCACCATCTCCGTCACCACCATCACCACCACCACCACCGTTAGCACCTCCTACAGCAGCACCTCCATCGCCCATGGGCCCAGCCCCGGCCCCACTATAGCCATCGCCTTGGTAAGCACTGTTGGTCGTCATGTCATCAAAGCTCATGTTTTTGGGGTTGGTATCACGATCCGGATGCCACCGTCCCTATTTCGAAGCGGACGAAGGTCCTGCGCCGCCCGCGGTGCCGGTGGTGGTGATGCTAGGAGGGGTGATGTGGACTGGTCGGAGCATGTCTTCGCGGCCGTCGAGCCAGGAGGTGCAGTTCACGCAGCGGATTGACTTTTTATCATGTGTTAGTGTTAGTCAGTCAAGTTGGGGGAGGAGGATGATAAAGAAGGAGGGGGCGGGGCCGATATCGGAGGGAGATGATAGAGATGAGGAGGACAAGGGGAGAGACCAACGTTAATGTTGATAAACTTGCAGCAGTACGGGCAAGGAACAGTCTTCTTGATGATGGGGTCCTTGGACATCCACTGGTAGATAGAGGCGATGCTGTAAAGCGAGAAGCCGACGCCCATGAAGTTGAGGAGGCGGTTCATGAAGAATCTGTGCGCTTATCGTTAATGTCTGAATCTGAATCATATATTCATTCTTGAGGGTAGTAAAAGTAAGAAGCAAAGTGATGACATACCCGTAAGCCATAACAACAGCACCATCCGCCTGCGCCTGCTTCAGGGTATTGTACCCTTCCTCCGGGTGGTTGGCTCCGGACCGGAGAACGGCGAATTTCTCCTCCAAGTTCTTGTTCAGTGGGAGAAGCACTGAGATGGGCGGGAGGACAATGTCGGAGACGAAGGAGGTGACGAGGGCTGTGAACATTGTGGCTAGGCTATTATTATTGATTATACGTGAGCTTTCACTGTTGTCCATTCGCGGTCATGAGTGGCAATCCTTACATCAAACCAAAAGCGATCTCGAGGACATTTCCCTGAAATGCGAACCCGACAAAGTCTTCCCAGAGACGCACAACCCTCCGGCGGTTGCGGTTGAGGAGGTCATCTTCCTCATCGTAGACCTGATTGTCTTCAAGTCTTGGCATGGTGGTTGTGATTTTGTGATGTAGTGGTGAGGTAAGTATGGGGTACTCTCGAGATCCGAACCGATGATTTATGAGAAGGGGTAAAAAATGTCCAGCATTCAAAGAAAAAGACAAAAGAGAGTTGAAGAGCGGCTCGAGTGAAGATGAAGATGAGACGATTCAGTTCCGTCCTGATCTTAGAAGGCGGGGAGTCGGACGAGATAAAGTATAAATGGAAACGGGCCGCAGGCACGCGATGTCCCAAAGCGGTATAGACAAGCGTCACTGACACTCGGCCGCCGCCGGGGCCAGGTCCTGACAACCTAAGCCGTCCGTTGGGAAGAACTAGGGAGACCAGCCAACTAATCTTGCATTTGCACTTGTTTCACGCTACCATCGAATCACACAGTCTTGCCGAGTTGCTTTTGATGGTTGGCCAGTCTGTTACCATGGCCCCAACTCACCTATCTCTTGACTTTGGTATCACCGCCAAACCCGCTATCGTAGGACAACAAGTCATTCGGGTGGCAATTGAGGGGAACCCCAAAGAGCTCGCAGGGGGGAGGGACTAGTGTAGTTGACGATGGAGTCAGATAATCCACTTTCTTTATGCACGACGACAAGGTGCAAGTTATAAAGTGGATATAGCTGGGGATCAGTAGACGGTCTTGCAGATCAAGTCACCAACAACTCCAAAGGTGAAGAGACAACGCAGCAATTCCGACCTTAAACACCATCAACCCCATGTATAAATCCTACAAGGCTCCCTGCTGCTATGCGAAGCTAAGACATGTCATCAACCTGCTTACCTCTCGGCTTGATGAACTCCGAAGACTGATGCCCAAAGATGACCTATGCAGGTATTCGGGACGCATCGTGAGCGGAGAAGGCCACACAACGCGGCTGCGTCGCGACAACGGCCTCATGCTCCAGGGCATGCATTGAGTCGCTTGCTAAATCATGTTGAATCAGATGCAGAACATAAAGATGATTCACAACTCGTGTCATATTCCTCATAACCAGAAAAGCAAAGTAAAGGACCAAAAAAAGAAAACCAAGCGCCAAAGCTATCAATACATATAGGGTATGCGAGGGTGGTATATGCTAGCCAACAAACTAGGCACCTTTAGGGAAACCGCCAATTCAGACAAACAAAACCAGAAGCACCAACGCTTTGTTTTATAGCTTGGATGGGACAGTGATGAAGGAGTTGCCCTTGCGAATAACGGCAACAGCGTCGTTGATGAACTCGTCAACGATCTGCTTGGCGTTCTTCTTCTCGTTGCACACGGCGGCGCACTGGCCCATGAGGAAGGGCTGGAAGTGGTCGAGGAGGTCATCGACATCAACCTCTTCGCTACCGTTGTCGGCCTTGTAGGCATCCTTCATGGCCTGGGGGATATCGGCAGCGCCGGACATGAGCTTGTCGAGGTCAGCCTCATAGGGGAGCTTGCCCTTGGAGGTAAGCTCCTTGATTTCCTGGGCGCGCTCCGTCTCCCAGTTCTCAATGTAGGGGTTCTTGCGGACACGGAGGGGACGGCCGGTGAAGATGAGGGTGCGGATGGTGTCGGAGAAACTGGCGGTGCGGACCGCCTCCTTGTGGGCCTCGGAGGCACCGGCCTCCTCGCAGAGAACGAAGCGGGTACCAACCCAGACGGCGGAAGCGCCCATCATGAGGGCCGAGGCGAGAAGAGGACCGCTGTGGATACCACCGGCAGCGACGACGAGAACCTCCTTCTTGGTGAGGGGAGAAATGGCACCCTTGCAGGCCTCGACGACGGCAGGGATGAGGATGGTGGTGGCAATGTCACCGGTGTGACCACCACCCTCACCACCCTGTGCGCAGATAATGTCAACACCAAGGTCGAGGCACTTCTTAACGTGCTTGGGGTGGCCGATCATGTTCATGTAGACGATGCCGTGGGCATGGAGTTTGTCGACGACGTGTTTGGGGGGTACACCGACGGCGGAAACGAAGAGCTTGGCACCGGACTGGATGATGATGTCGATAAGCTCGTTAAGCTTGCCCTTGGTATAGTCGTAGCTGCGCGGGGAAGAAGGGATGGTTAGCTACCTCTAGAGTTTGGCAAGACATTCGACTTGTTGCAATCCAGACTTACTTGGTCTTGCGGGCGTTACCACCGACCTGGGGAAGGAGGAGATCGACACCGAAGGGAGCGTTCTTGTCCTTCAGGTGGGACTTGAGCTCGTCGATCTGGTCGCGAAGCATGTCGGGAGTGTAGTTGATACCACCGAGCACACCGAGACCGCCGGCATTGGTAACGGCAGCAGCCAGCTTGGGGCCGGCAGCGACGTTCATGCCGGCCAGGAAGATGGGGTGGTTGATCTTGAAAAGATCGGTGATGGGAGTACGGATCTGCTCTGTTGTTGTGACATTGTGGTTAGTCTTCTTGATATGCCACAATTCGTTGCGCTCGCGATGCGGTGCGATGTGCTTGCAAGGGTTGTGACTTACGAGGAGAGGCCATTTTGAAGAATGTGATGTGCAACAACTAAACAACAGTGGTATCGCTAAGTGGCAAGAGAAAACGATGAAGATGCGAGAAAGTGCGAGGGAGACAAAGGGTTGATGATGTTTTGAACAAGTCGAAAAGAGGAGGTCAGGTGGGAATCTGGCTGGACATTCAAGGTGACATGTGCCGAGGTTCCCTCAGACACGGGGGGCGCTAGTCCGTTTCCAGGCACCATTACATACAAAACGATCTGGGGTTCGTCGCCAGCGGGGCCGTTGTGCGGAGGAGGCGTGCGACCTGTACCGAGGCACCTGTCACCGACTACCCTTTTCCTGTACAGTCGTCAATTGGGATGCCCATAATGACATGGAATGGCTCGAATGGGTTGAAGGAGAGGATTCGGTTGGGATGTTGTGATGTTTAAACACTCCCAGACAATGGATGATGTACTTGCTGATGCCATCTGCAATGCAGTATGCGAACCAGACAATGCCGACAATCGACATCAGACCAGACGTGCGTGTCCCGTGTGAACCACCAACGTCACGTAACAATAAATTGTAGCCCAATCCCCAACCCTCGTCACATTCCCGAACCGAGTTGAAAAAGGGAACCTGGCTGAGCCTGGTCAAGGTTCCCGTCTCGGACAAAGTTCGACCCCAGACTTCTTCTCAAACCAGCGTTGTGGAACCATGCCCAATGCAGCATCGTTATAAAACATGTTGGAGACGACAGACCTCGGAGCAAAGATGCGGCAGTGTGAATGTAACCAAAAAAGCAAATCTGAGCCGCAAGCCTTCAAACGAGATCGATCGTCCAGACCTCACCTCACCCATAAAACCCTAACCCTCTCTCCATCTAACGCCATCGCGTGCGTCAGTGCAAACTAATTCTGCAACTCTCAGACGAAAAAAAGGCCCACCAAAATTATCAAAGACTGGAGTCATTCTTCAGCCCTACCATGAAGCGATTCCCAACCATCTCCTCCTCGACCAGGCCATTGACCTGTCAGCATAGGCTTCTGACAAAACGATTGATTTTCACCGGCAACACACAACTAATTACAACATCACCACGCACACCACAACTCTCAGTCACCACTCCGAAACCGGCACGCACTTTTCACTCGGCCTCCACTCACCTTTCAGCATTGTCGTTCAAAAAGTACACACTGCCTTCCAAGGGCAAAATGACAGACGCAATTGACCTACCGGCTTCCTCCAAGCCCGCCGCCCCCACTGTACGCACTACTTATATCGCCCTGGGCAGCAACCTCGGCGACAAGATAGGATGGATCGAGAAGGCTTGCAAGGAGATGGATGCCCGCGGTATCAAGGTTAAGCGGACCAGTTGTCTGTGGGAGACGGAGCCCATGTACGTCTTAGACCAGGATAGATTTGTCAATGGAGCATGCGAGGTCGGTGCCAGATCAACTGCCTTTAATAATTCAATACTGAAACCACTCTCAGGTTGAAACTACTCTAGAGCCTCTTGAGCTTCTAGACGCACTTCAGGATATTGAAAACTCCCTAGGTCGCAAGAAGATTATCGACAAGGGACCCCGTAACATCGACCTCGACATTCTTCTCTACGAAAACCTCAAATTCGACCATGAACGCCTCAAGATCCCTCATATCGGCATTCCTGAGCGCGAGTTCGTCCTCAGGCCCTTAGCAGAGTAGGCTTTTACTCACTCCTCTCATCAAATCATATACTAACGACTCTGACTAGACTCATTCCTGACAAACCCCTCGACCACACCCGCCCCTGGACCCTCACCCGCGACCTCCTCGACGCCCTGCCCCCCTCCTCCACCCCCATCACCACCATGACCCCTCTCTCCTCCCACGGCCACCCGCCCATCCAAGCCCTCAACCCCTCGCGCAAGACGCACGTCATGGCCATCCTCAACATGACGCCCGACTCCTTCTCCGACGGTGGCCAGCACGCCTCCGCCGGTCTCGAATCCACCATCCAATCCTTCCTCGACGCAGGCGCCACCATGATCGACGTCGGCGGGCAGTCCACGGCACCTCGCACGCCGCAGGTTTCCGCCGAGGAAGAGATCGGCCGCGTGGTTCCCGCCATCAAGATGATCCGCGAAAAGTTTTCGCACCGCGACGTGCTCATCAGCGTCGACACGTACCGGGCGTCGGTGGCGGAGGCCGCGGTCGCCGCAGGTGCGGATATCGTGAATGATGTGTCCGGGGGTAGCATGGATCCGGACATGCTGCCGACTGTTGCGCGCCTGGGAAGCACCATTTGCTTGATGCATATGCGCGGAACGCCGGCCAACATGTCGAGCCTCAATGAGTACCCCGAGGCGGAGGGTGGGTTGATTGGGGGGATCGCCAAGGAGCTGGTGGGTAGGGTGGCGGCTGCCGAGGCGGCAGGCATCAGGCGCTGGAGGATTGTGCTGGACCCGGGGTTGGGGTTTGCAAAGGTGGGACCGCAGAATGTGGATGTGTTGAGGCACTTGGAGGAGTTGAGGAGCTGGCCTGGCTTGCAGGGGTTGCCGTGGCTGGTGGGCTCGAGTAGGAAGAGCTTCATTGGGCAGGTGACGGGGGTGCCGACTCCCAAGGAGAGGATTTGGGGCACGGCGGCGACAGTCGCGGCTGCGGTGCAGGGTGGAGCGGACGTGGTGAGAGTGCATGATGTCAAGGAGATGGCGCAGGTGGTTGCCATGGCTGATGCTATTTGGAGGTATTAAGCGTGCTGGTGATCGGGAGTGGGACATGTGGTTTATGTTTGTGTATATGGTGGTTCTTTGACAGCATTATGGGCAGGTTCAACAGCATGAAGCCCTCTGTTTCTAGGTTGGCATATGAAAATACGGTGATGAACATGGCGTGGATAGATGCATTATCTGCATAAAAAGAAGCATGTAAAAAACAGGTCAAAGGATAGAAGAAAGTACAACTCCAGTGGTAGTGGATTGAACTCTAACCACTGACATACCATCTTGCTCGAATATGTCGAGTATCTCGGAGACAGCAGGCACTCCTCGTCCACGACTTTGCCTCGCCTAGGGCCCACACATAACCTCACTGGATGCAAATAGTTGGTAGGTAGAGAGCCCAACCAACACTTCAAGGATTTCAAACCCAAACGGCACACCATTCCTTCAAATTTGTTTCTCAAAACTGGTGGTTGCGCTCCGACGATGATGGATTGCAGCTCAAGTGTGAGTACTGATCTATGAGCTCCACCTTTGGTTCGCATAAACAATAATGATAGGTCCGATGGTGTAGTTGGTTATCACGTCAGTCTAACACACTGAAGGTCCCCAGATCGAGCCTGGGTCGGATCAATATCTTCACTTTTTGTATTTTTTCTGATGCATGTCCTCTCTGACATTATGTCTCGCCTTTTTTTTTTTTTCTTTTTTTCTTGTATATCAACATTCGTCTTTTGGTCCATTTTTTCTCCGACCTGTTTCGTCTCGTGTATCTCCTTTGTTGATATGATCATCACAACAACTTGTGTTTTTGGTGCGCATCGTGGAAGTCTCACGCTCGGTAACTGGTTTGGACATCGAGTTGATGCCATGCATGAAGCTCTTCAAACCACCCATATCCCACAAATACTTACTTTGTCAGAAGACACGGCAAGAATACTTGATAGTAACCTTTCCGAATCTTTCCAAGTACCTATTCCTCCAGAAGAAAACAAAATTACCACCATTTGCAGGACATTACAAAGAGTGACCACGCCAACCTCCGAGGCACACCATCCTCAAAGTCCAAACTCTCCACCACTACTGCCTTCAACACCACCCTCGGAAAAGAAACGAAAACAAACTCAAGCCATCATTACGCCTCCCTTCCAGAAACCAGCCTCCCCCCCGGGCCGACTACGACACGCCTCCAGAAATCGAAACGCCCACTGACATGCATCGAACCTTTCGAAACAGCCCCTACCCTGTTACGCGTCCTGCACTCGCCCGGTGCACAGCATCAAACTATCAGGGAGGGAGCAAGCATGACGGCTGGAAACGGCAGGGGGTAGGTACACGTAGGCATGTCTCTGATCTTCATGAACAATCTCACGCAGCTTACTTCCGTGCCTCTTCAACTCAAACTCGCTGCTGAGTTTTGCTGTTGTTTGCTTACTACAGGCTCATGCACTAGAAGATGATAATAGACAGATGATGGATGGGTGGATGGATGAATGGATGGGTGGGTGGATGGGGTGAGAACTAGCCACTTACAAAGCCGAGTCTGACGGGCTTCGGAGCGTGAGGGTGGACTGAAAGCGGCAGGGCAGATACTTGTAAGGCAGAGGATAGGAGGCACTAAGGACACTCCCCTCCTTTTTCTTCTCCTTCTCCGCCTCCCCGATCCCATCTCATCTGCATCCCAGACCAGAAATACAAGACATGGACTGTCAATAACTTACCAGATACCATGCCAGCATGCCCATCCACTCAACCATTGATCCCGATAGGTAGAGATAGATACCCACCATCTCGCCATCGGCCTCCGAGCCTTGCACCCTTTCAAACCATCCTCAACACTCCTCAACAAATTATATCGTTCACCCCAGACAACCACTCTAAACCTTCCATTATCTACTAGAAACACCTCTGCGTACCTTCGCGTACCTCCTCCTCATCCTCCTCCTCTCCCCTCTTCAGATTTCCCCCCCTTCCATCTTCCATCTTCCATCTACATGTACACCAACAAGTCGATAATCTCCCACCACCCAGCGGAAGTCACCGAGCAAAGGCCTGGCCTCAAACATATACAAGTCAGCCTGCTTACGACCCATCACTCACCCACCCACCCATCCATCCATCCATCCTGAACGCAACGGAAACCTTCCCCAGAACATTTGGTTACCAACGCCGCCAGCATTCAGATTGAAGATAACACCCCGTTAACCGGCACGTAAACCGGAAACTGCCCGTGTATATCCTCGGAGGCTCAAATAACAGGAGAAATCTATGACTCTCGTGATGATTCGTTATGACTCTAGGTATCCTTCTTGCGTCCGCTTATGACGAACCCAGGGCAGTGACCCAGTGATCACACCGGACAGTAATCCCAGTGACTTCAGCGACAACAACCCACTGCACTCTTTCCTTTGTTTGGATCTCGACTCCCCTTCTTCACTCTTCCCTTTCTTGTTCTCTCCTCGCTTCTATGCTTACTCCTTTTCCCTGTTTCCTTTTTTTCTGTTATTAATTCAAACCTCTTCTTTTTTTTCTTTTAATTCTTTTCTTTTTCTGTGGTTTTTTTTTTTTTTTTTTTTTTTTTTTTTTTTTTTTTTTTTTTTTCCTGTGTTTTCCTCCCCACCACGTCTCCCACCATCCCTGTTCTCATCGCGTCCTCGTCCCCAGTCGGTCCCGTTTTGTTCCCTGCCTTCTATCCTCCATGCCCTGTCGTGAAACCCCAGAACCACGAAACCAACAACACTAACGACCTTCTTGTTCACTCTTGTCTCAGCGACATGTACATATCCGAGAACTAAACGCGAATCCGATCTAGTCATTTCGCCATTTATGGCCGTGTTCGTTCTGGCAGTAGTGCAGTAACGGAATCTCTTCTAACCCTGACCCAAAGCTTTTCTGCCACCCAAAAAATGCTTCCGTTACTGTACTACTGCCAGAACGAACACGCCCTATGTTATACAAGTATCCTAGATTTCAAACCCGGCGGCGAGAAGAAGACCAGTGATGAGTACTCTCTCGTAGGTAATATGCCGCTGTGTTGTTGGTGGAATGACCTGGAAACAGGGCTCCGATGTCAAACTGAAGGACCTCTGATTAGTGACTAGTTCTAGGTAAGGGTTAGAGAGTGAAACCCACTAGCACAACAAATCTGGGGAAGTGAAATAGTGTAAGGGACTAGGTAACCTGGGGAATACTAGCGGAACGGTGGTGCTACTGGCGTGTCAGTGAGACAAAACGTTAGAGGGGAACCACGCGCTTCCAGCAGCTATGTTTCTGACTGTTACCGATAAAGCACAAGATCACAGGCGCCTGTTGAGCGACGTTATTACAATGTTCCCCACGGGAAAGATTTGACAAAGTTGTGCAAAAGTTGGCATGTTAATGACTCCAGTGAGAATTAGGAACAAGAATATTATGGTTACTTTCAAACGCAATAAAAACAACAAAAGGTATATCACTCAAAACGCCTCAATAGTTAAGCCCTGGCGGTATATCCCTCTTTAACCCGAAGCATACAGAGAGGTTCGTGAATGCATGTGTATGTGGTCCGTCTTTCTTATCAACGATAAACGGACAAAGCCGCCATACTGTACTGCCTTCCCACGCCTTTTCGCCTGCAACACCCCAAACCCCCCAGAAAAAAAGAAGCACATCAGAAAAGGTGAATAGTGCCTATTCGCCCCAAGCGTCCAATGTAAATCCTGCGCTCCATGGCGTAACGCGGAGAAACAAAGTTGTGTCCAGAGTCCAACAAGCAACCCAACTTTGCACAGAAAAAGAAATGTGAGGGAGCCACCATGGCGAATTCGGTCTGTCGTGTCTCATGTCTCGTAGTAAAGCAATAGTGCCCTTGAGCTACCGGTAGATATCCGGCGAAGTAGTCCAAAGGCTTGATTCCACAGCGAGGATTTAGAGAAGGGCGGCAAGACCGGCCGCGACCAAGAGGAAGGCACCGGCGGGCTTGGCAACGCTGCCAGCGCCGATGGCAACCTCGGACTGCGTGGGCTGGGGAGAGACAACCACGACAGAGGTGCCGTTAGCACCAGAGGGGGCGCCGCCAGTGGCGAGGCCAGTGGGGACGAGGACGATAGAGGAAGAGGACACAGCGGGGACGGTGATGGCGGGAGCAGACGAGGTGGTCAGAGCGACGGAGCTGGTCGTGAGGGGAATGACGACGGAGCTGGTGCTGGTGGTGCTGACAATGACGCTGCTGGTGCTGGTGGTGCTCACGACGGTGCTAGAGGTCGAGGTGGAGCTGGCGACCGAGGAGGTAGAGCTGGTAGAGGAGCTAGTCGAGGTAGAGGTGGCCTCGGCGGTCTGGGAGACAAGGCTCCCGTCGACCTTGTAGGCGGCGGCGCACTGCTCAAGGGTCATGCCCTCGGGGCAGCACCAGGTCTCATTCTGGGTGTCGGCAGCGCAGTAGTAGCCAGCATCGCACGAGTCTGCAATAGCCTATTTAGCATTCTCGTCTCTTTTTCGCACATCAACAAGTCAGGGTAACTTACTGCCAGAACCGTTAGGGCAGCAGATCTGAGCGGCGCCGGCGTTGTAGCAGTGAACCGAGTCGTCCTTGGACGCGCACGCCTCGAAACCAGCACCGCAAGCCTCGGCGCAAGTGTTGCCGGTACCGCAGACGGTCTGCTCGGGCTGGTATCCGGGGTTGTCCTGGCGACGGACGACACCGAACAGCTGACGGACCGAGGTCTTGTGAATCTTGCTGGCCGCCTTGTAGGGCGCGCCTACCAGGCGGATGGGCTCGGCAACGGCCTGAGCAGCGAGGGCGAGAGCCGCCAGAGCAGTGAAGGACTTGACATGCATTTTGACTGATTTGTTTTGAAGTTTTGGCGATCGAGTAAAGACGGTCCGAGGGTTGATTAGGTTTATAGGGCTGTCACGTAGGTGATGCTGAGAAAACGAATGTCGTCGAGTGCGAGACTCTTGTTTGAATGCAGTGTAGGGAGCGGCAGGTTCTTCAAGCGAGAACAAGATGAAGGCGAGATTATATCAGAGGCTGAGGTTGAAAAGAAGGAGAAACAAAAAAGGAGTGTGATGGGGGGAGAGAGTGGATTGGAGTATCAAATAGAATTACAAAGAGACGACGGGGGGGCCTGCGACAGTCTGGGACCGCCTGCCCTGCCTGGGAAGGGAAGCTCGCGACCGCTGTAAACCTGGGGGGAGAAGGGGCCACTTTGGGGAACTAACGAATGGATCCTCTCGGCTGCTTCTTGTTTGTTACCCTGGCAAGCGCCGACAAGTACCCCTACACCAGCAAGCGGCGGTGAGGGTACTTTGCCGATGGAGGTGCACAAGCATCCAATTTCCTTAATTTTAAGATTGGGCACCCACTCTCCTTCCACTCGTCGCCCAATCGTCGCGTTGCCCAGGGCACTGAACGGTACCTGCGTCTGGGCGTGCAGTTGTTCCTGGCAGGAAGTGGAAGCAACAGGCGGAAGCAACCCGTCACAAGCACTGCACCGGCATCTCGAGCATCCCTCCCTTCAGTTTGCAGTGGACCGACCAACAGCAACCGAGGAGCAAGCAACCGTCGCAGCCGCCCCGCATCATAGACTTTTTTTTTCTCTTTCTCTCATCTCAATTTGCACTGCAGACATGCCCGGCCCTGTGCCTGCTTCGCGTGGGCGTTTGTAGTGTACACTATTTCAAGAGTTCTTGGTGCATGACGCTTACTGTCAAATTTCACATCGAGATCAGAACTCACTCACTGCAGCGCATGCTGATAAGCTGGTATTATATCGTCACCTCCTCCCTTAACTCTTGTGCCCCTGACCTGGCCTTCCATCTTGAACCAATAACTGGGCGGGGGCCAAGAAGGGCCGGCTGTTGTTGCTAGACTCAACCAAGCCAGATCGTCGCATTGCGCAAATGAGGCATCTGGCGGGCGGGACACTGGGCCACCGCAGTCTGGCAAATAGCGCGACGCCGTTGAAATTTGTCTTTCATGCTCCGAGCGCATTATCGGCGGTGTTAACCGGTTCCGTGATGGACTGCCGTGACTCTTCACATTGTCCTTTTCGAAAAACTGTTCCACGTCGAGTCGGGCCCGTCAGTCTTCAATCAGGGTCCGAATTCACGGGCGTTGGCTACGGTCGGTGTAGGTAGACGTCGTTGACACCGGATGGCACGGACAAAGTCTAAACTGACGGTCAGTGATTGACAGTGCATCCTCGTCGGCCGCTCCCGCCGTGCTCCAGTCAAATGTCATTGGTGAGCGATCATCATCAAGCCACACAAATGGATCAATGTCGCTGCTGCCTTTGTTTGCTAAACATGGAAGGATTGAAAGGAATCCGTTGCCTACACTGCGGAAAGTACCGAAGAAAGGGTCCCCCCTCCTTCTTCCCCTTTGTGTTGTGTACCTATGTGCCTTTCTTTGCAATGTTTCAACTGGAATGAAAGTTGCGGTGCATTGAGTGCCCAGTGCAGTGGTTCTTGGAAATTCAATGGACATTGTTCGGGGTCGCGACCAACGTGGAACCTTTCTGCCAGGCACCGAATTTTGATTGATTGCTTTTCAACTCGACGCTAGGCCGTTTTCGTCCACTTGCAGCTGTTTCAGAAGGAGGAAGTCCACCGTAACCGTCCTTTCTGCATCGTCTACGTACCGTCAAGGATCTTTTCCACTTTCTTCAACTTTGGGTCCTTCAAGAACCCTTCCTTCCTTTTCTCTTTCCACTTGAGTTCCATGAAATTGCGGGGTGCAACAAACTTTCTTCCCACTCGAGGTCCCCTCCCTACTCAGGTCCTTCGGCTAGTTCGGTGGAGAGCGGATACGCCTTTCACGTCATTCCAGTCAGCCATGGGTTGCACAATGGGCGAACGAGCAATTACCCTAGAGCCAACGCTTCCCCTATTAACCAACCCCCCCAAAACAAGCGCCATTGACTGGGATTAGTACCTCGCGCTTGCTTGACATCCACTTGAGGTTCCCAGCTTCGAGACACTCATCATTCATCATGTCGATGACTGTTGTTACCTAAGTGCCGAACCCCAATTCTGGAACCTGGTAACCGTTGAATTTCATAATTGTGGTTCAACTGGGGCTTTCCCCGTCCTTCTCGACATACCTAGGTACCCAGGTGAAGGTCCCTTGAATGTCATGATGTGTCACTGCCTTACCTACCTACCTAAGATCACTCTTTCGGCAGTCATTTTGCTGGCTGGACACTCGCGCCCAAGGCCTGACCATCCAAGGATCCAGCCTCTTCATTCTACAGTCCAATCAATACCGGTGGTTTCTTTGTTGGCTCTAGACCTCGGGTCAACTTCCCGAGGTGTTGTATGTCTAATCGACGTGTTTCGTTTCATGGACCCCAGGTGTAATCTTACCTGGATCATGCTATTTCGGAAATTTAACACGTCACTTGAATTTTACTGATACCTTTCCCAATATATGATACCTAGACATTCATTTTATCCTCATAAGGTTTGAGACAGCTTGGGATAGAATGCTAGGACGACCAAACTAACAAACAAGCCAGCATCAAATTCTACACATGCTTCTTATCACGTTCCCGACCCTTCGGCAATATGCGACGACATCGTCAAACCAGCGGTTCAGCAGATAATTACGCATTCGTCAGAAAGATGGGTCAGGAAGGCTGCGGTGGTACCGGACCTTTTCTTACTGAATATGGAGTATACAGACAAATCATACTACGATAGTTGACAGTACGGCCGCACACCCACCCTGATGACGACGACGGACGTCTTGGACGTTCGCAACAATAAACACCAGCCATGCTCGGCAAACCATCAGGTCAAGTAGATAGCCTGGGAGAATGATCATGATGAGCACATACGGCCATTGGTGCTGGACAACTCTTTATCCCGTCCGCTCTTCGATAGATAATCTACGTCAAATGGCCCTCCGAATGGTTCTAAGAATGAAACGAATCAAATACACCGTGGTCCACGACATCACATCACATCACACCTTCGGTACACTCGTCGCGATCCGAAGCTATCCTTCCCATTTGAATGCTTCTAGTCCCTACCATAGAGTCATCTTTTCATGAATCCATTTATTACACTACACCTCGGGCCCAGAATTTCCGATAGGTATCTTCTGGTTCATGAATTCCCTATGCTAGTCTTTTGATCAATCTGTTTTCAAGCTCAAGTTTCTCCTATCACAACACATATCATTTCGAAACTTCTGTAAAAGAGACATAGATACCGACAGTAAGGTACCTGGTACGCCTCTCACTTCCAGCAGTAAGCACCAGGGGCGCCTAGTATCTTGCACTGCTTGTCAAAGTCCCCGCTATCGATGCAACAGTTTGGGGCCGAACACTAGATAGGTAGCGTAGCGTAGACTGGTTAGTAGCCGCGGCGGGATATGGCTGGCTAAGGGGGGTCCATCTTACCTGATGATGCTGATTGCCATGGTACGTCTCGATGCAAAATAGACTACTCTCGTCGTTTTGCATATCGCATACTTGCTCCGTGAGATCGTCCCACTGGGGACCAGTGCCGGATGGGTCCTGGCACTTGCAGTTGCAGCCTGCGAGGGCGCTATCAATGATTAAAGAGGAGGAATGTGTCGTTAGTCAAACCATATCTCTCAGTCGTCGATGCGATTAACATACCTACCTAGTAACACTAGCAAGAATGGTAAGGAAGACGGAGATTTTCATGTTGACAAAGTAGAGGTAGAGTTGGGAGGGAAATTCAGGATGAGGATGAAGTTGAGAACTTTGCTCGAGAGGAATCGTTCGATTCCATGTTATAAAATGGGACGGCAGTGCCCTTATATACTTAATTAAGCAGACACTCAGACATCTCCATCCGAATCCATTTCCGGTCGATACGTGCTGTTATTTTCTCGAGTTTCGTCAAGCGATCTTTTGTTACGGCTATGGTAGGTAGAGGTATGTAGAAGCTGTAGAGGTAGCATATACTCGGTGCCTGACTTGTTCGATTTTGACATCAGGATCCGAGTTAGGGTTGTATCAGATGTGTACTGTGCTGCCCAACTGCTTCCTAGGTTAAACGTGTACTGCCTAAGTAGGTATTGAGCGTCCAGGTACAACAACATCAAGCGAGTGAGCAACACCAGGATCCGAGTTAGGGTTGTATGTGTACTGCCGGGACTTTAGTAGCCAAGGTACTTTGAGAATGAGGAAAAAGGGAAGGTTCCAACAACTACAATCAAGGCTATTCACTGGATGGACACAATGTCGTTGGACTTGATCATATTTATCATCCACAGCACATAACCGTGGTCAGTACTACAACCCATAACAACCAAGAGGTAAACTACGCAGGATGTACCCTCGTCTTCAACACCTCAATCAAGTTGAGGACACTCAGGCTCAGTTCATCCGGACCGCCTTCATCAAAGGTCGCGCCACCCAGCACCATCAACTTTTTCGGATCCCTCCTGAATATATGCAAAGCCCGGCTGTAAGCAGCAGGCTGCTCAATAGCATGCATCTCCCACTTGTCCGGGTCCCCACCAAACCGGTTGGTATAGATCTCGCTCCGATCAGCGTCCGAGACCACGATGGTGCCGTTGGGCCCGCCAGCAGGAGACCAGACCACATACGGCGAGGCATTCGGCGCGAGCTTTCCGTCAATGACAATGGGGATCCCAGGAGCCGAGTCAAACTTTGTCGGCTCGTCGGCGATGTGGTAGTAGACCGGGTAGTTGACGCCGTAGGAGCTTGAGTTCCCGACAGGCAACTCGTGCACCAGGATCCACTTGTTGATGGTTTCGATCTTGGCTACGACAGTCATTCCCGGACGAGCGAGATATTCGTCGTACCGGACATCATTGACGACGGGACCCCAGGTGCGGAGGTCTTTGGACCGTTGATGGGCGAGTTTCTGTCCATGCTTGGGGTCCCGCTGGTCCGAGTAGTAGACTATGAGCTCGTCCTTGTATTCGAGGAGGAAGGGTTCCCAGACAGGCGTGGCGCCGTTGGTTGTGTTGGGACGGCCACCCTCGGCTACATGGCTGACGAACTTCCAGGTGCGCGCCTTGTCGGTGCTGGCGTACAGGTCGATGCGGGTGCCGTTTTCGCTCCAGCTGTTTCCCGAGAAGAGAATGGTGCCGGCCCTGAACCCGCCGAGCGGCTTCTGCAGTTCAAGCAGGGCCGGCTGTGCGCTCATGCCCCAACCGTTGACTTGGTCGGTGATGTTGGAGATCCATTTCCAATGAACGCCGCCGTCTTTACTCTCGAAGACGGGGAAGGATGAGTTGCTGCCGGCAAAGAAGTCGCCGCCGATGATGCTGGAGGTGACGAGGAAAGTGCCGTCCTTGAGCTCGACGTGTCGGGGGTACGAGGCGCGCTTGCCGGCGGGTGGGTCGTAGATGATGCGTCGGGGGAAGGTGCTGAAGGGCGGCGGGTCTGGTTTGCACCTCCCTGCCAGAGCGGCCACGGCGAAGTGAAATGACAGGAAAAGGGTTGTAAGTTTCAAGTTTGTAAGCATGGTGGAGCTCAGATGGATGGTAAGGAAGGCAGGGGCAGACAGGCACGAGAACTGTTTGGCATTAACTGTTCACCATACCAGTAGTACTGTAGTGACCTTGCTTGACCTCCTCATCTTATTATTTTCCTTTCCACTGTTGTTTTCCAGACCAGACCGGGACAGTCCGAGCCATTGCCGACGCTCAAGAACAATAGGAACTTGAAGCTCGGGTTCGACCAGAGCCGGCCAGTCACCACTGACAGCCGCACGAATAGGGTTCCGAGGCCGGAAATATTTGTTTAAGCATGGTCCTTGTGTTCTTGTTTCCCCATGGGGGATCGACTTTGACAGCTCCTCCCCCGCACATCATCACCATCAACCAGGTAAGAGAGGTACTGATCTGGATGTAACCCAGCGCTGCATCGACTTTATCCAAACAGCCGCGATGCGCCCCAATCGGCCACCATTCAGCGTCCTGTACCAAGCGAGCTACCCCATTTTATCCCAATGACGGGAATACCAAGGAGAGGGGTTCACTATTGAACCTAAACTCCAGATCTTCGGATTCCATGGTAGCAAGCGAGAAATGTTGCATACTCCCCAGAGCGCACAGTCGGCATCGAGACACGGCAAGTCAAGGTGTCGTCTCAATGACATGCTAGGAATGAACGGTCAATACTTAAGAGCCCATGCTGATGTATCGGAGGGATGGATGGGGGGAATAGATGTTATTCACCAAGGATAGCAACGACAAACATGAAGTCATCTTTGGTTCCATACTGCCTGCTCAGCTGCAGTTCTGTACTGGTCTCTGCCATCGACCTGCCATTCCAAACATACCCCGACTGTGTCAACGGCCCTCTAGCCAGTCTTAAAGTCTGCGATGTCACCCTATCACCGCCACAACGCGCCGCCGCCCTCGTGGCTGCCATGACGACCGAGGAAAAACTTCAGAATCTCGTCAGCAAGTCCAAAGGTGCACCCCGTATCGGCCTCCCAGCCTACAACTGGTGGAGCGAGGCTCTCCATGGGGTGGCATATGCACCAGGAACACAATTCTGGAGTGGCGATGGCCCCTTTAACGCGTCCACCTCATTTCCCATGCCCCTTCTAATGGCGGCGACATTCGACGACGAACTCATAGAAAAAGTCGGCGAGGTCATCGGCACCGAGGGTCGGGCCTTTGGAAACGCCGGTTTTTCCGGCTTCGACTACTGGACTCCCAATGTCAACCCCTTCAAAGACCCACGTTGGGGTCGTGGCTCAGAGACGCCCGGCGAGGACATTCTACGCATCAAACGCTACGCTGCATCCATGATCCGAGGACTTCAAGGCCCTGCGCGAGAACGCAGGGTCGTGGCTACCTGCAAGCACTACGCCGCCAACGACTTTGAGGACTGGAACGGCTCGACCCGGCATGACTTCAATGCCAAGGTCACGCTGCAGGATCTGGCCGAGTACTACTTGTCGCCCTTCCAACAATGTGCACGGGACTCCAAGGTTGGATCCATCATGTGTTCTTACAACGCTGTCAATGGGGTGCCAGCCTGCGCAAACACGTACCTGATGCAAACGATTCTCCGGGAGCATTGGAACTGGACCGCGCCCGGTAACTACATTACCAGTGATTGCGAGGCCGTCTTGGATATTTCGGCAAATCATCACTACGCCGAAACAAACGCAGAGGGTACAGCTTTGGCCTTTGAGGCTGGCATAGATAGCAGCTGCGAGTACGAGTCCTCCTCGGACATTCCCGGCGCCTGGACTCAAGGTCTGTTGGAGCAGTCGACGGTTGACAGAGCTCTGAAGCGGATTTATGAGGGTCTCGTGCGAGTAGGCTACTTTGACGGCAACCACTCAGAATATGCATCACTCGGCTGGAAGGATGTCAACAGTCCAAAGTCACAGGAGGTGGCGCTTCAGGCTGCTGTAGAGGGCATTGTCCTGTTGAAGAACGACAAGACTCTCCCTCTGGATCTCAGGACCGACCCCAAGTCGAAACTGGCCATGATTGGGTTCTGGGCCAATGACCCAAAGACTTTGTCAGGCGGGTATTCCGGAAAACCGGCATTTGAGCACTCACCAGTCTACGCAGCTCAAGCAATGGGCTTCAGTGTCACTACAGCGGGCGGGCCAGTTCTTCAAAACAGCACAAGCAATGACACATGGACCCAGGCCGCTTTAGAAGCAGCAAAAGACGCCAACTACATCCTGTATTTCGGCGGCCAGGACACCTCAGCAGCAGGCGAGACAAAGGACAGGACGACCATAAACTGGCCCGAAGCCCAACTCCAGCTCATCACGACCCTGAGCAAACTGGGCAAACCACTTGTCGTGGTGCAAATGGGCGACCAGCTAGACAACACCCCACTTCTTGCTGCAAAAGCAGTCAACGCTATTCTCTGGGCCAACTGGCTAGGTCAAGACGGCGGAACAGCGGTCATGCAAATCCTCACGGGCCTCAAGAATCCCGCTGGACGTTTGCCCGTGACGCAGTACCCTGCCAACTACACGGCCGCGGTGCCCATGACAGATATGAACCTCCGGCCTTCCGACAAGCTACCAGGGCGGACTTACAGGTGGTATCCCACGGCGGTCCAACCGTTTGGTTTTGGACTGCACTATACCACATTCCAAACCAAGATTGCCGTCCCCTTGCCGCGTTTGGCCATCCAGGACCTTCTTTCACGCTGTGGTGGTGATAATGCCAATGCCTATCCTGACACCTGTGCCCTTCCACCGTTGAAAGTGGAAGTCACCAACTCCGGGAACCGGTCGTCGGACTATGTGGTACTGGCCTTTTTGGCAGGAGACGTGGGTCCTAAGCCCTACCCTATCAAGACACTTGTGTCGTACACGCGGCTGCGTGATCTCTCTCCCGGGCACAAGACAACGGCACATTTGAAGTGGACACTGGGAGATATTGCGCGCTATGATGAACAAGGAAATACCGTTTTGTATCCGGGGACATATACGGTTACTGTGGATGAGCCGGCGCAAGCGAGTGCGAGGTTTGTGGTTGAGGGCGAGGCGGTTGTTTTGGATCGGTGGCCTGCTCCGAGTGGTTAGGTGGTGTAGTAAGTCTTTGTGACTGGCAGTGTAATAGTGTAGGTTATCGAACAGAACAAGACTTGCGCGCTTATGTAGGAGTACATTGTCAAGTGTGACATCAAGACCCTAACTGCTCTTTGATACTGCTTTCGCTGTCTGATATGTCACTTCTGCTTCGTTTTCTTATGCATGTTTCATGGCTATCTATGTCCTTTACTCATATGAACACTCTCTAACCCTCTGAATCTCATCCATATCGTCCACCGAGCCTCCTGACTTGTTACTCACTCACTCACTCACTCAATCCTCATCTATCACCCTATCTCGTCCATGACAAGGTCAATGAAACCTTTGGCTGTAGCCTTGGCCGAATGACTGACTGGGTAAGTGAACAGTCATAAGAATATACCGAATACAGACAGTCTAGTAGTGCTGCTCGTCGCAGTTAGGAAAGGCCATGACAAAATTGTCATAGAGCTTACGATGGTTCGAGAACATATTGGCTAGAGTTCCTAGAAATATTTTATCCAAGAACCACCTAGTAACTGGATTCAAACGTATACTATTTATACTTGAATGCAGATACAGTATACCCAAGGTCTACTGTACTGACCATTCGGCCAGCCAACAACCACAGTTGTCAACAACAACAATTTTCGTTAGGATCCGAACAGGACAGGACAGACCCATCAACAAACAGCAAACCACCTCCCCCTCCCCTTTCTCAACCCTCTCACATGTCTCTCCAATTTCTTTCCCTTCTCCACCATCACCACCCCGTTCTTCTCATCCCCTCCCAAAACCTTCCCTCGTTCTGCCTCGTCAAGACCAAGTACCACCGTCTCCACCTTCCCCCAATCCACCCTCCAATCCACTCTATCCCCTTCTTCTCCCCCTTCTCCCCCTTCTCCCCCTTCTTCTCCTCCCCCCGTCGTTGTTTCCTCTGTTCCCACCTCCTCCTCTCTCCCTCTCTCTCCACCACTTCTAAAATCCTGATTCTGATCCAAATGCATCATATCCCCCATCGGCCCCCTACTAATCGCCCACAAGGCCTCCCACCACCCACCACACCCTCGTAGATCTAACCACTCCAGTCTATACCACGCCCTACTTAATCTCCTTAGCACCAGGATCGCTTCCGACCAATCGTTATCGAGCGAATGGCTGTAGGGACCCGTACCGCCGTATTGCACCCTCCTCCCTTGGGCGGTAACGAAGGATGCGTATTTGGCGTTGGGGGTGAGACTGGGTTCGGGCCAGTTGGCGAGGGAGAGGTGGGTGAGGGTGGGGTGGTGGGAGGCAAAGGAGAGGAGGTGGCGCCACGAGGGTAAGGGGTAGTTACCCGGAGTGGTGGAAGGGGAGGTGAATGTGGAAGAGGAAAGAGGGTTGGGAGGGAGAGAGAGGGAGAGGTGCGTGAGGTTGGGGAGGAGGGGGCGGGGGATGGAGGAGGAAGGGGGTTCTGGTTGGAATTCATCTTCTTCGTCAGCAGAGTCTTCCCAGGAGTCTCTTGGTTCGGCGGTTTTGAGAGTGGCGGCGGTGATGGGTTTCGTGGTGGAGGGTTTCGGAGGGAAGAGCAGGTCGGTTAGTTCGCGGAGGGAGAGGGAGGTGCCGATGGAGTGGGAGAGGTCGAGGTGGCGAAAGTCTTTGTTGGCGATGCTGGGGTCGAGGTAGTCTTCTTCTTCTTCTTCTTCTTCTTCTAGCTGCTCGGCATCCTCATCTACGTCGTCGTCGCCTTCTTGCTTTTGTGGAGGGAGGAGGATGGCCTTGAGATCGGCTAGAGTGACGTTGCCGGGATCCTTCCAGATGCTGAGGTACGCCACAAGTGCTTCGCGGAGATGGGTAGGTAGATGCTGATAAAGATAGTAGCGACAATATTCTCGTTGGAAATCCCAGCTGTGTGCAAACTGCCGGAGAGTCAAGTCGATCAGACTACCTTTTGCCGGAAGGTACAGCTCAGGCAGCATGTATTTGTCTAGTCGACGCCCGTCCGAGCCGGACTGACGAGGCACTGTGGAAAGTATCCCGTGTGCCGGCCGATTCAGCCAGCTCTGTGGCGGGGCTGGACCGGGAGGCAGCCTTCTACCGGTGGCATCCACACGGGGTCCACCCCGGCCCCGGCCCGGACGCGGCCTAGGCGCCGGTGTCTCGGGTAGCTGTAAAATGTCCCGGATGACTGGTGGCACCGTCGGCCGAACATCTAATGCGCCTTGAGCATTACTATTACTGTTCACACTGAGACGGCGCAGTTCAGCGAGCCGCTGATTGACACTGCGGCTTTCTGATTCACCTAAAGTCCAGTGTGTTAGTACGACAAGACCATGCTAGATACACTATGCCAGCCCTCTTGGCATCAATCACTCAGTGTGTATGAACATCTTTGCGGGCAGGGGCACCGAGCGAGGCTCGAGGAGCACGATAGATTTGCGGGTCATGCACCCGCCCATTCACCGGATCAGACAGACAGACAGACAGACAGGCAGGCAGATAGACAGAGGGAGGATTGACTATCAGGGTAGGAATGAAATGAATGGATGGGTTTGACGGGCTACACAGAGAGAGGGTGGTGTAGCAGTTCAGGTAACGCACCATTGTGGCTGCCGGCGCCCGCAGCGGTGGAGCTCAATGAAGCTGGAGCAGTTGACTGCGGTTTGGAATATTGTTTGAAATGGACTCTTTTCTTCGGCATTAGGTAGGTAACTTAACCCTGCAAGTTGGTCTCTTGTGCTGGACAAGATTGGCCTCTGCCGTGAAGTGACTCAAGTTGGTACGTGTTTTGATCTCTTGGTACTTGGGAAAATGTCAAGCTTGATGATGTTGTCGTTGTTGTCGTGTAACTGACTGTATTGGTAATTTTACACGTTGAGAGAGGTAGGTACCTTGAGGTTCGATGGTGATAGAGGCAACTGAAGTAAGCTAGGTCGCAAACCGGATGAGTCGTCGTCGTCGTCCCCCGCCCTGCCTTTCAATCTGGCCAATGCGTGCGTGCCTGCCCTGCAGGCAACGACGAGATGGGGCCCTGCAGAGCGGTTATGGATCACCGTCGTGGGTGCAAATGACTGACTGTATCGTGCGTGTGTGGGTGGCCACTTCCATCGCATGCAAGGTATTTTGACTGGATCAGCTTTGGGTACGTCATCCAACCACTCAAATCCGATGATGATCGAGGAGGAGTAGGTCTAGAAAGATGGGTGGAAGGAAAGGCACAGTCAAGGTGAGGAACTGTTACGGCACCGGCAGGCAAACACCACGGAGGCCAAGACTTCTCGCGCCTCCGATGCCCCTGACTGGTCAACCGCTCAATCCCGGTGAGTGGGAACAAATGCCTGGCCCTGAACGGGTCCGGGCGCCCAAACCCTGTCCCCAAATGCAGGTCATGCTTCCGGGGGGCATGCCCTGGGGTGTGCTGAGACCCCCCCCTCCCCCC